ACAAGTTAGCACTCGGTGTATCAAACAGAATCCACTGTCTTGTTACGTGCAAGGATTGGATTGCTTCAAAATACAAAAAACATCAACAGTGCCAAGATACACTTCTCCCTCTTTGAGTGTGGCCAGCGTTTTTCTCCAGTCCACATTGGGGTGCACAGTGTGGTTCAGGTTTGTCGCCTTCTTCGGGCTCGTGCAGCTGTGGCATCGTCCTCAAGAGCACTCGTGACTTGCGATCGCTTGCGTACTTGCGTACTTGTGACTTGCTTCCCGACTGCGAAACATCACATGGGCCGCGGGCGGCTCTTCGAATACGATGGGACTTCAAACAACAACAATACTAATAGCTTCTTGTTACTACTAGTAAGGCCAGGAGCCCCTAGTAGCTTCGTAAGGCCAGGAGCCCCTAGTAGCTTCTTGCTCCTAGTAGTAAGGCACTTGTTTCTAATAGCTTCTTGTTACTACTAGTAAGGCCAGGAGCCCCTAGTAGCTTCTTGCTCCTAGTAGTAAGGCACTTGTTTCTAATAGCTTCTTGTTACTACTAGTAAGGCACTTGTTCCTAATAGCTTCTTGTTACTACTAGTAAGGCACTTGTTACTGGTAGCGAACATTGTTGACATTGTTGATAACTTAAGCTTTAAGCTATTGACATTGAGGCTGATGGTAGCAAGGTTCCGTTAAAACACGTTTAAAGCACCCGGATCTCCACGCAGGTCCAGAAGCACCTATGGGCCATATGGGCTTCTCTTGGAGAGAAACCCCACAAACGATTCAGCTGAGAGTGGTTACCATGAGGGCATGAGAGTTTCTTCGACCCCTGTGTTTCTTCACCATCTCGACGTGGGTCCTCTGGGTTTCGTGGGCGCCCGCTGCCCGTCTGGTGGCCACAGCGGCCTCGGCCAGGCCGTGAACTCCGTGGACGCCGTGGGCTGCGCCGTGGGCGAGTGGAGCTGTGGCTGTGCTCGCCGCCTTGAGGACACGCTGGATGCGACGCATGGGAAGCCTTGGAAGGAAGGCGCGGTTGGAAGCCTTTCCAGTTTGAAAGCACACAGCTCAGGTGACACATGGTGACACCTGACTACCAAAGTTGACAAGGAAAACACAACAAATAACTAGAGGAAAGGGGAACACGAGAGCAAAGCAAAATCATGCAAAAACCTGCTGACAACTGCTCGTCTTCGTTCGTGTCCAGTACTTCCTCTTCAAGCAATACAGGGCGCTGTGCCAGGGCTCAAAAATGTCAAAGCAAATGCACAGGACTGAGGTGTTGACTTGGCAACAAACTCACAGGACAGCATGCAAACATGATGCATATGGCATATGCAAGCCTGTGCAATGTGGTGCAACAATGATGACATGACACAACCACAAGGACACCTGCAAGTTGCACTACCTCTAGTCCCAATGGCGACGACACCGAAAAAACACTGACAATATTGTCTCGGTGTGGAGCCACCAACACAGACCACTGGCAGTACAAATTACAAGCGTTACAGGACGCATGCGAAAAGCTTCCTCTCTGCCGGACAGACAAGTCCTTTGCCAATCACAAAAGCATTGACAAAAGCATTTGCACGCAAAAGCCATCACTACTAGGAGCAATGTTCGCTACTAGGGGCTCCTGGCATCGCTACTAGGAGCAATGTTCGCTACTAGGGGCTCCTGGCATCGCTACTAGGAGCAATGTTCGCTACTAGGGGCTCCTGGCATC